TAAACAGCTGGAATCCGTGAGACGGGAGTAACTGGAGAGACAGAGAAAGAGAGGCTGGTACACAACACACACTGTTCCCTCAGCGCGATGTGGCTGGCAGGAGAGAAGCCAGTCTGGGTTTCATAAGTAAAACCACATCAGAGTCCGCGATTCAAATCCCTGCGACTCAAAGGGAACACAGTTGAGCCCGAGTGTTTAACGCAGGAGCATCTCCATGCTTTAGCGCCATATCTTGTAACATTCAAATCAACGGTCCAGAGAGAGAGAGAACATTGAAAGCTTCTTGTACCAGCATAAATGCTGCCTGTTTTATTGTCTTTTCATCCAGCTCCTTGGGACGTGAAGAGCGTTATACAAATGTAATTTTGTATTGTGTTGGATCTAATGAGGGTCAAGGCACCTTTAGACTGAGGTCTAAAACTCTCCCCCACCACTCTAAAAGCATTCAACAACAACAAATTACATTTTGTACAGCGCCTTTTACGTCGGGAGGACGTCCCAAGGCGCTAGTTCAGCGGAATGAGCAGTTGAAAACAAGGAAGGCAACGCTGTACGGATGAACGTCACACAGCGCACAACCTGCAAAGCCGCAGAACAAGTGGGTCACAGGCTGTGCTCGCGAGTTACTGATTTACTTCTGGGTTGGCCGGGACTGTTACCCAGTGATTTATTTTATGTGGACCACCTGTTTCTGCTATTTTGCTACAAGGCTCGTGACTAGTTTTGGAGTTTTAAAAAAAAGTTTGGCAGAGAAACGGGGATTGGTGTGTGAGCTCGGGGGAGGGCGCATGTGTGTGTGTGTGTGTGAGAATGTGTGAGGGGGGAGTGAAGGACGAGGGGGAGGTGGGGAGGGAGGCATGGAAGAGTCTGCTCAATCGCTCAGGCACATTTCACTGATGTGGTCGGCTGGGATCTGCAGGCAGCTGTCAATCTGTGCTATGTTATTATGCAAGCCCCCTGCTCCTCCCTCTCCCCCCCCCACCGCCGCACCATATAAATCATCCTTCCTTCCAGGCCAGGCACAGCGAGGGTTTATACCATTGTAACTTCCCTTCTCTTTGGCAGCACGTTCGCTTAACACTCTGCGAGACCCGTCTGGAGCACAGAGTGAAGAGCACAGCCAAAGCTGGAGTGTGCATGCGGTTGGCAGCCATTCAGAATGCGCGCGCGCTCTCTTATCTGCACAGTCAAATTCACCATTACATGATGTGATATTATCACTGGTGATAATTAGCACATCAAAGCAAAAACAATGAGATCAAATGGCGACCGAAGCAAACGTTCATCACTGGCCTCGAAGTTACATCGCCTCGCGCCCCCTCCTTTCCCCATCGTCAGGTCATGCCTGAAGATCTTCCTTTCCGACCATGCAAATGGTCACCAACCCCCACCCCACGGATCGGAGTCAGGCTCCACCACCGTCAGGGGCTCTGAGACACCATTCTGCGAAACAGTCGCTATGTAAAGTGCAAGTTGTTGTTGCTGCTGTTGTAAGTTATAAGAAAGAAAGTAGCAATCCTTGCATTTCGAGACAGAGTCTTATTGCATCGTCGAGACGTCTCAAAATATGTCCCAGGATTTCACCGTGAAGTGCAGTATTTTGTAGGTGTGCAGCAATGAACGTTAATGTCCACTTATGAAATGAACCGGTGTCCAAATTAAGACTTTTTACTTATGATATCTGTGCCGCAATTTCTGCGGACAGTTTTTAAGACAAAGCGGTTCGTCCTCAAGGCTGAGGCCAGGTGGAATTTCGTCTCTTCCTTCTCTCAAGTATTGTGCATACTGAATAGAAAATAAAATTAATTTTTCCAGCTGAGAGTGGGTTTTTTTTAACACTTTTTTTGCAGTTTTACTTGATTAAATCATTTAATATTCTTTTCTCATTATTTTACCGCCGGAGTGTATTAACAAGATGGTCGGTCAGATTGAAGTTCCTTTTTTTTGTAAGATTCACACACACACACACACAGACACACACACACTTTTTCTGGGCTTAACAATGCAATACAAGTTCAATCTCCTCAACACATATTCCAATGAAGCTCAGTGGATGCTCGCTGCTACTAAGGCTATCTTTACACAATGCAGCTGTTCACTTAACATATGTCTACAAGCACAGGAAAACAGGCTGCAGCACCTTATTCGAGTGAAAAAAACATACAAGAAGCCAAAGCTAGTGAGCAAAGCGCACTGAGTCCAAAAAGGATGGTACTTAATGGAAGGAATTTAACAGCTAAACTAGAGTGAAAAAAAAAGCTGCCACAGAAATATTTGATCTTAATAAAGTTAATTTTATCGGAACTAAGCCTGCATTGAAATAATGGCTATATAAATCTCTCTAAGAGGAATGTCATTCATAAGAGATAATCTCAAACAGGTTCCACTGAATTATATGAGGGGCCTGAGTATTGTGCGTGTAAAACTAGCACATCACCATTTGCCAAAGTTACAATAGTTTTCGGGTAGACAGGGCTTTTCTTTCCTTGGTGGAAGGCAGCTGAAATGTGGCTTCGTGAAATGAAATGCAGGCGCAATGGTTTGGTTGGCATTACCGCACACTTTAGTTTTATGAGCTCACAGCTTATTTGCTGGGCAGCTCCTCGTGTTGCTAACGCATGCTATTCTGAGATTTGCCTGGACTATAATTAGAAAGGCCATCCGATAGAGTGACATATTTTTTTCAGAATGCTGGGGAGGTAGTACTTGTCCCGGTCTCAAAAGCATGTTAGGATTTCCAGCAACCACAAAGGAAGCCACGGAGCAGGCAGGCCTGAGCTGTGAAAGAGCGGCTCAAGAACCATTTGTCACAGAGCAGGGGGCAGAAAGGTTCAGAGGGCTCACAGCAACACAGCACAACAGCAGAATCCCATTCTTCAATCGCAAAGCAAAATATTATACAACTCTCTCTCACTCCATTCATCGCTGCCAAATATTTTTCCACGAGTTAACGCAACCTTAAGTTTTACGATCGAAATGGTGTGAAGTGGCCCCATCGCCCGCAAACGCCATTAATACATTTTACGGGAAAATCCCGGGAAGCACTCCGAGACGTCGCAAGGTGGTGATACGGTGCTGTATCAAATGCAAGGATTATTATTAATTTCACTCCATTCAACTCTTGCCCCAGTGATCTGTTTGAGCCCGGGCCGTGTATAGAGCCGGTGAGCCTTAACCCCTTCCTTACTGTTCGCAGTTTACATCGATCATCTATTAGCTCATAATGAACCCACTCCGGTGACATGTGAGCCGCTCTTTAAAAGGCAGAGATGCTCTTTTGTGAGTGAGCTGTGCTTCCCGGCCAGTGATTCCGTGAACATTCCTGCTCTCTTGGTGACTCCCACGATATTTCTCGGTCATAGGGGCACAGACAGCAACTGAAACTCGTCGTTAGCTATCACTCAGTTCCTTGCTGGGAGGAGGGAGAGAGTGGAGGAGAGCGGTGGAGGGGGAGAATGGAAGGGAAGGGGTGAGGGGGGGGTGGAGCGGAAAGCGCTGCAGCATTACATACTTTTTTCAGCGACACCTTTTATTTTAGAACCATTTCTCCTCTCGGGGCTCTTTCGCCACAAACAAAAGCATCCCAATTTGCTGCAAATTACAATGTTAATTATTTGCTCAGTTTTTGCAATCCATCTCGGCAACGTGAGAGGCGCTTTTCACAAGTCGTGCGCGGCTCTGTTGGGAGTTAGCAAACTAACAACTGTAAAATGCATATTTTAACAAATTCTCTGTGTGCCTCAGCCAGTGGTGAGTTGCTGCAGTTTTGTAATGTAAAAAACAGATGTATGTCTTTTGTGATGGAGCCTTTATTTTAATTAAAGAGAAAGCCTTCTCAACTCATATAAGATAGCGATAGCAAAGAGAACTTAGGAGGACCTAACTACCTCAGGAAGAGGCTAGTGAGATTGTGGAACTCGCTGCCTGAAGCGGTGGTTGAATCAGAAAGTGTAGATGCATTCAAGAGGAAGGTAGAACTGTACATGAGGGAGAGGGGAACAGAAGGATATGGGAGGGAGTAAGGAATGGGTGAAGTCGTGGGGAGTGTAAACAGCGGCATGGACTAATTGGGCTGAGCAGCCCATTTCTGTGCTGTTTTCTTTGTAAATCGTTTTGCTGGTGAGAAGCGACTGGAGGGAACGGGTCATTCACTGGCTTGGTGTCGAGAGCCACAATGTGGATGTTTGCGAGTATTCCAATGTGAAAAGGGGAAAGCGAGATATAAAGGGCGGGTTTGCAAGATTCCTGTTAACCCTGCAAGCCAACGCTCTCACAGCTACAGGTGGTCCGAGCAGTACAGGCAGCGGGAAGAGGTTGTGAAGGGCAATTTCAGAGCAGACGCCAGGAAGTATTTCTTTGGAGAGAAGGGAATCGGGAGCTGAACTCATTTTTTTAAAAAAAAGCGTGATGGTAAGATGGGTTTCATTCTATCAGGATGAGATCAAATCACCTGAAGGACTTTCTTCATCCCACGACTCTCTCTTCCACGACTGATTGCCTTGCATTACATCTAGACCAGAAGACACTTAGTCTATCGAAGATACAGCTTGTATTGGTATACATGTGAAGGCACTGTCTGATACATGATGACACTGACAGTGATACCGCAACACATGTGAAGACAGACACTGCGTGATATTGGTACACGTGTGCCTGCATTGGCGTGATACTGCGACACACGCAAAGACACCGCTTGATACTGATACACGCGTGACAGCATTGACGCGATACTGTGACATTTACAGGGACCTTGTATGAGATTGATACACACCTGAAGACAACTGCACAATACTGACACCGTATGATCCCACGACACATCTGATGTTTCCGAGATTATTTGTGCCACGTGAAAACCACCGGACCCCAGGTCAGAAGCAAGATCGTGCATACCCTGGACCCACCCTACGCCACTCCACCCGCCCCGCACTCTCTGCAATGTAGGCGAGCGACAGAGAGAGAGAGAGAGAGACAGCGAGAGAGAGAGCGCAAAGGAGACTGACCTGAATCTGTTGCTGGAGAAGATTGATTTTGTGCTGTTGCTGCAATAACTGCTGCTGTTGTCTTGCGATCTAGGAGGAGAAGCCGGGGGTGGATGGATGTGGAGTGGGGGCGGGGGGAAGAGGAGAATCGGTGGGGTAGGGGGAAGAGAGGAAGGTGGAAAAAAAGAAAGAAAATTAAAATTCCCAAATAAAGAAAGTGATAAAATTAATCAAAACACAACTTTTTTTAAACCTGTAATTTCCTTCCTTTACCTACTTCAAATAAGCTGCGAATGTGGGGGGAGGGAGAGAGAACAAGGGGTGGGGGGTGGGGGGGGGGGGAGAAACAAGCTGTTTTTACTTTGCCCATCCATCTAACTACATTCCTGCTTCATTGAGCATGACAACCCAGTTTTAAGTGTCATTTAATTTTCATTTTCAAATATAATTACAAAGTGTTCACTGTAAGATATGACTCGTCTGCAAATGTGTCAAGATTAATTTGAGCGAGCTTATTCACAAGTGTCAACAGTTAATTACTGTGTCGTGTCTGCAAAGCTAAATGACATTCCGATTCCTTATTCCGCACGGCTTTCCTGTATTTTATTTTCCATTAGAAGCCTGGGGGTGGGGGAGGGGTGGGGAGTGGTGGGCTGTGCGTTTGTGTGTGTGGGGGTGGGGGGGAGGAGGCGGGGGAGAGAATACCCGCTTGTGGGCAAATATTTCGACACCACAATCCAGGATGCCAGGTTCAATACACGGGCTGCGTTATATGATACACTTTACATTGTGGAGTCCCTAGCGTAGTGGTGAGCGCATTTGCCTCGCAAGCGAGAGGATTTGGGTTCGATTCCCGGGCAGGGTGAATCCTCGGGGAAGTTTCCTTACTCCACACATCCGCGTTTACCTAGCAGTAAGCAGGAACCCGCTTGTGAGTCGATTGACGGATCACAGAGAGTAATAATCTCTCAAACAAAATGTGGTCACTCAATCCATGACTGCTGGACACTGCTGTGCGCAATTGGATCCTGTGTTTCGCTCACAAAATACACAGAATACACAGTTAATTCACTTTACATTGTATTCTGTGAAGCGCGTTGAGATATCTCAACAAGGTGATAAGGCGCTATGTATGTCAAATGCAACGATTATTATTTATTATTACATTTATAGGGCGCCTTTCACGTCTCAAAGTGCTTCACACCCGAGCTAGGGGAGGTGGGAAGCGAAGAGAGCGGAGAGGAGGGAAAGATGATGGACAGTGAGGGTAAATCGAAGAGGTACATCTTGTGCTAGCTCTTTATACGCCACTCACTGCCTGTAGCACACGAGGCTATTGATGTGATAGGGCTGGTGGAGTGCACTGTGGAGTGGCTCTGGAGTGGCCTCTTTGCAGTCTCACAGAGTGACGAGCCGAAAGACCATCGGTTCAGGTCCTGAAGCGCAGCTGCGCTGGGGCTGCGGCTGGTAATTACTCATTCCGCTCATTAACACAGGATCATTTTGGCTGTGACCTTATTCTCAAAACTGTTCTCTAATTTTACGCTCCTAATATGACAATTTGCCTCTTAAGGTTAAGCTGCTTTGGCCCTAAGTGTTGGCAAAAAAATAAAAAGAAACAATTTCTGGGAGGCAGAAGCTCTCTCACACACTTGCACGAACCCACCTTGCCCAACTTCAATCCTCTATCCCGCCCGCCTCCCACAACCCCTCCATCCCGCCCAGTGGAGCTGTGGCCCAAATATCAGAAAACTCTGTTCCACCCAGTGTAAGGGGGACGGAGCGGAACTGCCTGATTATAAAACAATCTGCAGCTCAAAACTCCTCATTGTCATTGTCTTACAATCAGAAATTCACAGCACAAAAGGAGGCCATTTGGCCGACTGAGTCTGCACCGGCTCTCAGAGCAAGTTGTCCGTTCACTCCCACCGCCGTGCCCTACCCCCTCCTCTAACAGTCTCTCTCACTCCTATTCTCTCCTACAGTCAGTCACTAGCCATTGCAGCCACACAAGTTCTGTCTCACCAGAGACCAGACTCTCACTAGTTACACACTGACCGGGCAGAGCGATGGGAATAATGAAAAACCAACATGGTCATTGCTAAGCGGTTCAGTTTCACTGTGTGCCATGCCACAGTCGCTGTGTGTGTATGCGTGTGTGTCAATGTCTGTGCGTGTGTCAATGTCGGTGATTACGTCTGTGTGTGTGTGTGGGTGTGCGTGTGTGTCCCGCTCCGCGCACTGACCTGTTCCTGCTGTTGTCGGGCGAGCTCCATCTGCTGCCGCTGCTTCTCCATCTGCGAGGCCGCCAGCTTCTTCTGCTCGTCGTGTGCCGCAAGGAGCTGCTCCCGTAAACTGATGAGCTGGTTGATCATGGCGGAGAGCTGGCGCTCCTTCTCAGCCAGGCTTTCCGGCGTACCTGCACGGGAGAACGGAGTTAACACAGCCAGCGAGAGACACAACAACAAGACGTGTGCAGTCGTAGCAGCGATCGGGGTGAAGAGGACACGTGTGATTATAATCATCATCCCAGGTACAATTAGTCTTTCACTTCATGGCTTATTGGGGGACATTGCTGGGTGCCTCGTTTGGCTACAACAGACATACCTTTGGGGTTGGCAACAAAGTAATCATGGAAATAACCAAATACCATAGATTTATGCCATCAATCAAGATATATTCAATCAAGAAACATTTATTTTGTTGGCCAACCAAAGAGGTTGCCCGCCACTGATTTTACAGTATATTCTGTGAAGCGCTTTGAGATGTTCTCCTGAAAGGCATAATATCAGATGTAAGAATTATTGCTACTCTTTATTATGTGAACCCGACTATTGATATGTATGAGAGATTCCCTTTATCTCGAATGGAATACGCACTCTCTCCCCAGAGTGACGCACCCTGCTTAGCTAATCCCAGAGAGTATTAAGGGCGGGTTGGCGAGATTCAAGGTTTGGGGACTTTGGGGTAGCGCAGAGGTTAAGCAGCTAAAACCATGTACTTTAACTCGCTCAAACTGTATCTTAACCACCTAAAACCATTTACTTTTGCCCATAAAATCTACAGTCAATTAATTTTACAGTATATTCTGCGAAGTGGTTTGAGACGTCTCGAAGACGTGATTTGGCTCTGTATCAAATGCAAGGATTGGTATTATTATTATTTTAACCAGCTAAAACCATGTACTTTAACCAGCTAAATCTGTGCATCTTAAAACAGTGCAATCAATGGGACTGAACTGCTTTCTGGATAAATCTGCCAGCCCTGGGAGGGAAGCGATGGGACCGCGAGGCACATCTGCACACTTGCCCGTCACCTCTCGCTGAGATACCAGGCATCATCTGTAGCGCTTGCACAATCTATGTGGTGTGTAAAAAAAAATTAAATTAAAAAATCTACATGGGAAACGCTGGCTTTTCATTACCCCAGCGTCGTCAGGGACGTGATTGCGGCTCTCTCAGTTACAAGTTATTAGCACAAAGCAGCTGAAGTCACTGTCACCTTCGCTGATTCCTCTGGCGGTTTGTTCACAGTGGAAGCCAGCCTTGCAGGTGTCAAATTAGCGAGACAATGAGGAGAGCACAGGAGCCATCTCTCCAAGTGCAGCCTCCACGCTGCCTCTGCCTCCGCCTCTACTCAAACATTAGCGCTTCACAATTTTAAGCCATTTCAATTTTCAGTCGGCAAAACTCAAGACTCCCCTCCTCTCCTGTCTCCCCCACCTCTCCCATCTCCCCACCACCCCCCTCTCTCTCCTCTCTCATCCCCCCCCCCACCTCTTCCCCATCTCCCCCCTCTCCCCACTTCCGTTTCCCACTCCCCTCAACTCCCCCATTCCCCTGTGTTCCTGACTTGCTAGAATTTGGCAAATGGATTTCTCATCGGACACAAACTCTCTTTATTTCTTTCTCTATATATACATATATCAGTGAGCCACATACAGTTACGAGAGATTCAGATAGCCCTAAGATTGTTGACATTTCTTCTAACTCGCTGCTGTAATTTATCTGTACGGGATCAATACTGCTTTTTAATAACTCTGGCAATTAGTTTTTCCTCAATCCAATGACTCCAGTACTGATGGGTTAGACTCCCTTTCAGACAGAGATGCACTCAGTTGAACCCCCAATGAATGTGATGGGATAGTCAGGTTTGAGCCACAAGCAGAGTGTAAGGATTGATCAGAGGAACAGCAGCAATGACAACAAGGCCGTAAATGTATGCGGGGGAGATTACATTATAAACTATAAGAATGAAACACGCAGAGATGCATACACCCCAAAAGGTACCTTCACCTTAGATCATTTCACAGAACGGTACAATTGTTTCTGTTGGCCCTTCCTGCCTGTGTTGGTTAATTATATGGATGACATGGAATGCTATAGAACGGAAAGAGTCCATTCAGCCCAATTAGTTTGTGGCTGTGTTCAGCATCCACACCTCCTAATCCCATATTCCTCTAATCCTTACATAGCATTAAGGAAGCCTCAAGGCGCTTCACAGGATTTGCTGTAAAGTGACTGTGTCCTTTGTGGGAAAATATCACAGTCATGTATGCAAATTGTTCTTTTTTAAAGGTTTGTCTAATTCCTTTTTAAAAACTATTGTGGACTCGGGCCATCAGTTGACCTGAATCACCTCTTTTGATAGTGATCACGCCTTGGGACGTCCTCCCAACGTGAAAGGCGCTATACAACTGTAATTGTGTTGTTGCTATTGATAGAGACAAAAGCTCTACAAATGCTCTATCATCAACGACAACCCAGCCTGCTTTATATCCTCCACCTGACCAGCCCCACCATCCGTGGGAGAGCTTTCAGCCATTCTGCCCTCGCACAACACCATTCCGGAGTTAGAGGTGGCGTCCTTCTGGTGAGGTGTTAAATTGAGGTCCCGTTTGCTTGTTCAGGCGGATGTTAAAGATCCCGCGGCAACAACTTGAAAAGGGAAGGGAGTTTCTCCCGGTGTCCTGGCCAACAATTCCCCAGATACAATGGGTCATTCACTTCACGGCTGTTTGTGGGTTATTGCTGTGCATAAATTGGCTGCTGTGTCTGTCTACAAATGCACACTCACTATTACTATGCAGTAAATCCAATGAATTCCTTTGAGACATTAATAATGTTATAAGGCGCAGCATCAAATACACAGATCATTATTAGTGTAAATAGTGAGAGATCTGTGTTACTGTGCCCTTCGAAGAGCCCAGGTCATGACTTCCAGGGAAATCCAAACACATCAGTTTTCTTTGAAGTTCAAAAACAATTATTTTGCTCGATGGCAAAACAATACTTCACTATTTATATTTCGCTATCAGAAGCAGTCTGAGAATAAAGAGAAAAACACAGTTTATCGCAGCCCAAGAATTTGGAGCTCTTTCGGCCAGAATTCGGTGCTCTGGATCCTGAAGTAAAACCTCTGCTCGGGCATTCTATTGAACTTCTCCTCTCACCTCCCCTTTCAGCTAAAAGGGTTCACAGGATGAGCTACAGTTGTGGGTTCAAGCCCCACGTCAGGTGTTTGAACTCAGTCTAATCTGACACTCCAATGTCGTGCCTGGGGAGCGCTGTGCAATTGGAGGCGCTGTCTTTTCGTCTTAAACGGAGGCTCGATCAAACGAACGCTAAAGATTCCTTGGTGCTATTTAAAGAGAGAAGGGAGCTCTCTCCCAGTATCCTGGACCACAATGCTCCAGATAAAATCAGTCATTCACTTCATGGCTGTTTGTGGGAAATTGCTGTGTGCAAAATTGCCTGCCACATTTCACCTACAAAACACACAGTCACTTTGTAGTAAATCCTATGAAGTGCTTTTGAGACACCCTCCTGACGTGAAAGGCACTACATCAAATGCAAGGTTTATTATGATGATACTTATAACAGAGTGAAGAAAAATCTAGGATCTACTACTAACTCTTTCAGTGTGACAAGACTGAAACTGCCCATATGAAGGGATAGGAGACCAGCTGGGCAGTGCTCTTCCCATCCACTGCCTTGTATTACCTCAATGATTCATTGCTTACAAGATTCTGCTATTTCCTCTGGCATCTTTCAGATGCATCAGCGTAATTACAAAATTACCATCAATTTTTATTGGTGTAATTAAAATATAATAACTCCTCGAAGATTAGTCACCATCTTCCTTTTTAATGGATTCTGAAAGAGAATTGTGACCGGAGATGATTGCCTTGTAGCTGTTTGCTTTCCCCAAATTCCTCCCCACCTCATCCGCATCTCTCCTTCCAAAGGTTGGGGCTGAATGATAGTGTGCAGTAAGTGTGCCAGACAGTGCTCTCAATGGCAAGCTGTGCTGTTTTAGCTGGTTAAACTCCAGGAGTCCCCAACGCACATTCTGGGGTCCCCAAGCTTTAGCGCTTACCAACCTGTGCCTAATTAGGTAAGGAATCAGGTAAGCAGGGTGCGTCCTTCCAGGGAGAGAGTACACATTCCATTCCAGGTACCACATGTGCAGGTGGTGTGTATGAATCCCTTCAGTTTCGTTTGGATACGGTAATGGGTTTCCGCGAGTGTCAGACACTGGGCTGACCAAAAGAAAATGGTAGCGTGTGGTTTCATGGGCACTGGCTATCCCCTGGTACTTTGCCTGAAGGGGCCATTCTTCCATGTCTGAGTCTAGGCGGTGGGCGTTGGCTGGTTACTGAGCCTTACGCTCACCACAATCCTGGCCGCCTGTTCAGGTGGACATTTCCGGGGAAGGGAATTTCTGCCTCACTTGCTTTGGCCTGTCTAAGCTGCCTTTCGACAGGCAAGCGAGTGATGTATTCGAGGCCTTGAAAGACTATCCAATATTCTTGGACAGGAATTGTCAGAGATTTGGGCTGAGTAATGCAATGGGAAGAATGACTTCACCTCCGCAGCTTAGCTTCCCCTCCCCCCCCCCACCCTCGCTTTATATTTTTAACCCACTGAATTGCCATTGCATGGCTTATCCGTTTTTGTGAAGGAGTTGTTCTGCTGCCCTATGAAGCCTTAATAATAATCCTTGCTTTTGATATTACACCTCTAATTCCTAAACATCTCAACGTGCATCACAGGTAATTGCTGTCAAGTATAGTGAGCGTATAATCATAGGTTATAATAATAATAAGAATAAATGTTAGAGCTGGGCCCGGTATAAACACTCAGCTATAGAAGACATTCCCTCCCTACCCATCACCCTCCCACCCACATCCCCTGCCAAACAAGGCTGGAAATTTCAATGGCAGGTAAAGAGTTAAGCTGTTCTCCAGGTCCCTCTATAGGGAGAGAGAAAAAAATCGAGCCACATCTGTCTTGAGTTTCACTTGGATTTGTCAGGTGGATGAGTGCTCCCAAGAGCCTGGTTCAGCCAAAGTATTTTAATTTGACAAAACACCTGATTTATTTTATCTGTCTGATGAGAGGGGCTGTTTGTCTTAAT